GCGCTTTTTTCAAAAAACGGTGGCAGGCGTGGTGGTTGTGTCCTTTTTGGACATAGAGCCTCACTAGCTCGGCGGCAGCAGCGTCAGCGCTGGAGGGTGGAAATGTGTATTTTCGAATGGTGTGAAGTCTGGATTGGAGGCCTGACAGAGCCAAGCGCTGGCTCCCATGCATCTCGAATTAGATCTGAGAACTCCGGTATGCGGGCTTGAGTTCTTCTTGCGGAAAGGTCATGTCACACGTCAAGAGGCAACTACATGCAAAATCATGCAAAACCCTTGCAAGACGCTACAAAATTCTACAGAATTCAGTGGAGGAAAAGCTGCCGTGTTTGGGCCCGGCGGCCAATGCATCAGTTGATTCGATGGATGTGTCAATGATTTCCAGTGGAAATCCAGTGGTAGGTGGTAAGTTGAGGTGGGTGATTTCCTATGCAAAAACAGCGCCCCTGTGACGGGGATCACACTCAGCACCCGAATGGGACGGCTGAGCGAAACACACTCTGACAATTGTATTCAGTTAACTCAGTTACCACGATGGGAAGGATGGCGGTGGAACAGCATGGCGAAAAGTCCGAGCAAATTGTAGGTGTTTGAACAAAGGTTGTTTCCCTTGACTGCGGCAAAACGCGGCTGCTGAAAGTGGCTGAGAAACTTGTTTTTGGGGTGGAAGCATGAAGAACCATGAATCAAAAAGTGGAAGAGTAGGGTGACAGCGTGTGGAAAACTCGGCAGGTACGTTCAGAGAGCGTCCTCTCCGAATATCACATCCGATCAGCAGTGTCTTTGTTAGGCAGTGACTGCTGAAAGGATCACTGCCCCCCTGCTGAGGTTGGGTGGAAACGAGGTGGTGGTAAAGAGCCCTTTGTCCAGGGGTGGACACACACAAATCGCCGGCTTCGGCGCTTTTTTCAAAAAACGGTGGCAGGCGTGGTGGTTGTGTCCTTTTGGACATAGAGCCTGCTAAAGGCTTTCCGCTTTCCTGATTTCATCGGTTGGAACATGGTTGGAACTCTTCCAGAAAGGGTGCACGCTTATTTTCCCAAGTTTTACTCCGAAGCAAATTGTCTGAAATACTCGGCCAAAACAACAGATTTTCACAGAATCCTGACTTCCTGGCGCTGTACCTCGCGCGAAGCGCCTGGGTAGCCCCTGAGGCGGGCCTCTTCGCGACCTTCGCCGCCCGCCGTCGACAGCGGCAGCGCGAAAGCTCCGAGCCGAATGGCTTCATCACGTTGCCGGGACACCCGGGCCCAGTTCGTCGCTCGGCGCGGACACCCGAACTGCCGTTGCTGGGTGTATCGAGGTGTAGCACTCTGACGAACACATCACATGGTTGCGTGGAACATGGCCTCTTGGAAGACGATGTTCCTCTACAAACAGTGGGTTTTCCATGTTGCATGTGTTCGGAGTGGAGTGTACTGCTATAACGAAAAAACTGCTTGGCACAGGGTCGCTGGGAACCAACATGAACCAACCATGACAATCATGACACCGCCATAAAGCGCATCTCAAGAATCTCTCTCCAACCTTTGAAGCTTTCCCAGGTAGGAGAGTCTGGACCCCGAGCCTTTGGTTTCCTAAGCAGAGCACGATCCATGCTCCATCATAGTCGTTGACACCTCGAGTCGGTCAGACCGGAACTTCGATCTCCACTCCCGTGATCGTTTGCGGCGAGGAATCCCAGCTATGAAGATGATTTCATGGCGAACCAGAAGAAGGTGGCCATGGTTTTTTCTATATGTTTCTCAGATGGCTTTGGGTTGGCCACTTTTGTTCCTGTTCTTTTCTCTAACACTCTAGCAACTGGGTTGCTAGCATGTCTCTGAGACGCTTGGAATTTGAAGTTGAATTGGTCCGAGGGCCCCCTTTCAACGGCCTGGATGGTAAATGTGTGCAAATTTCCGACCCCGCAAGGTCGGTAAACTGGGGCGAATCGGTTCATCAACATCTCACGACTGATGGGACTGGCATATTTATTTAGGGGGGGTGGTTTCAGATGGTTTCAGTGGTCCATGTAGGATCATGTGGATCATACTTTCTTCCCCCATTAGTCGTGTCTGGGAACGACAACAGGAAGACGCACTCGAACACTCCAAACTCGGGCAGGCTGGCGGCTGATCTGCTGACGGAGCCGATGCCTTTTCGGGCCTCCTTGGCCTCCAAGAAAAGCTCCTTGGTTTGTCTCTAAAGACAGGCAAGAGGAGCTATATGGGATTCGTTTGAATCCACCCTTTAAGATGTTTTGGGATGTTTGGGGGCTAGTAGGGGTTAGTAGGCTTGCCTTCTTTTGAGACAAAGCCAAGTTGCAGCCCAAGATTTCAGCGTTTCACTGACAAACCTACCCATTAGAGCGCCCAGAAATGCACCGCTGGGGTGGCGTTGTTAAGGATCCGGTGGAGAGCCACTGGAACTGAAGACGATCCAACTGAACCCCCCCAAGACGCTCCGGGTTGGTCCAAAGGACCCGATGCAACTGAGCGCGAATCTCATCTTGCAGGGAGGAGGACCAGAGGACTCGGTCCTTTCGAGAGCGCGACGCGAAGCGCATCGACAGCAGGTGATTCCACTTGAGAACCATCACCGGTGTTGCGCTGCGATGGCCCGGCCATCGAGGCTCAGGAGTAGATGAAGATCGACCATGACCAGAGGCAGTTCTTAGGCACATGCGCAACAAAAACACCTTCATGGCTGCTCATGGCTGTTCAGCACGTGTCCATCACGGTGGTGCGGGTCATTCAGCAAGTCTTTGAAATCGCCCCTTGCTGCGATGCCCCCTGTGCTGCCAAAGGCTTAGGATCAGCGCTGGAGACTTTTGGTGGTAGTTCTTAGAGAGCTGATTCACCAGCAGTTGATGCTTCGAGAGGACTTTGCTATGCCATGCCACGTAATTATGTGCCCAGAAGAAGGGGTATTTGGAGAGTCCCTTTTTTGGTTGGATTTGTTTGTTTTATTTAAGACACACACACAGCTGCAATGAGTCATAGATTCATAGATATTTCTTTGACACACACACACGCATGACCGTCGTAAAGACGCGCAGATGCGCATGACCGTCATAGGCCGACCTATTCCTCCCTATACTCAGGGATCGCCAGGTTCGGACTGCCATGACGCGGAGCGCACGTCGGAAGGAAGAACCAGTGGTTCGTTGGTTCGAAGACACCGGCAGAGGGCCTTCGTTTTCGCTGTCTTTTCTCGGGATGCGAGATGAAGAACTTGTACAGCACAACCTTGAAGTGTTACTCGTAAGTACCATGTACTAACATCCAAACCTATGAGTGTGTCCGATTCTGTCCTCCGGGATCTCCTTCGGGATCCGCGGCCTACATGCGTGTGGGACTGTGCAGGGCCTTGGACGCGTGGCCCGAGACGAAGCAGGATGAAAAGACCATCCACAAGGCGAGAGGAACCATTTGTGGCGGTTGAGAGGGCAAGAGAGGTTGTGTGATAGGACCTCCGTGGTGGATCGTAGTGGTATTGGAGTATGGGATGTGCTAAAAGGGCTGTTCAACCTCTCTTGGTGGATGAGCCAGTTGTTAGTATGAACATCAATGAGCCACTTGTCGAATTGACTACCAACTAACTGCATTAACTCGGTTGTTTGTTTGTTTTGTCTCCTAAAACTCGGCCAATTCTGCATGGCTTTGTGCGGGAAACAAAGGCAGCTGGGTGATTCCAAAGGATTTGGAAGGCCATGCAGCGGACGTTTGGGGAGATGCATCAGAAATCACTGTGAGAAGCATCAGAAATCAGATCATCACCATGTTCCGGCCTCGACGACCCGAGGTGCGTGTGGCCTTAGCACAACGACGCCTTGGTAAAGACACGCAGGCTGGGCGGTACCAGTGCCGGCTACAGGCTTTCTTCATTACAAAAGAAGCTCAGGGCATGAACCTGAGACTTTCGTTTCTGCAGAATATGGCTGACTTCCCTCCCACCAGTTTTGCCATTGAAACAGAAACATCGTAGCTTGAGAACAGATTGAATATATATGAGAACAATTGAGGCTCTACATCTCACCGTCCTATACAAGACCAAGGATGTCGTTTTTTTGTTTTTTATTATGCGGTTCTCAGTTGCAATTACAACTTAGGATGCGAATGTCCAGTGATCATTTCGTAGGAACCTCTCCAAAAAAAGGAATACACTTAATTTACTTCGAGTTCGAGTGATCCCGACCATGACATTTCAATCATTTGTCTTCATGTCATGGTGGGAAACGAACAGTCAAACACAGTGACTCACCAAGGTCTATTGAATCACTGTTCTGGCATCGGTTTGTGCACGGCAACACATCGTTTGTCATAATAAATGCCGTGGTTGACGCTCTACAGCCGGCATTCTATGAATTATCCAAAGTGCGGACCCTGTCCTTGTTTTGATGCCATGTGGATGCCTTGTCCTGTCTTGGTAACAGGCGCAAGACGTGACGATTCACGACTCACGGACGTTGCTGAAGTGATGGGACGACAAAGCAGCGACTTGGGTATTTGCAGCTGCCTGGCTGGCAGGACCTTCGAGGTGTTTGGAGCTGCGCTCATTGTGGTTGTGTATTGTGTTGGTGTTTGTGTACCGTGTTTGTGTGTTTGTGCTTGTCGTTGTTGGTTGTGTATTGTGTCCGTGTTTGCGTTTTGTGTTTTGGTTTGGTGTGTTTGTTTGTTGTGTAGTGTGCATGTATTAATTGTGTGTTTGTGATTAGTTGTGTTTGTCGTTGTGTTTTGTGTTTGTGTGTTTGTGGCTATGTTGTTGGGTTGCGTGTTGAGGTCCGGTAGTGCCCACTGCGATCTGGCGCCTGCTGTTGAGGTCCAGCAGTGCCCCCCTGCGATCTGCCACTTGCTCTAACTTGCTGGCGAGGAGATGCGAGGAGGAGCAGGAGGAGGAGGAGGAAGAGAGAAGAGCTCTGATAACTTGGCAGGTGGGGGACAAGCTGTCTCCCTAAAATCCCAAAAAGCACTTGGCGCGATAGACCTAATAGATCAGGGATGATCAAGGCTTCACCCTTGCACTGGACGACCAGCAGGCGCCACGCCTGGCAGGTGCCACGCCCCCGCGCCACCGCGCCACACCGGGCGCCCTCCCCCACTGCGGGAAGCGCCAAAGTCACGCCGACCACGACGAGGGCGACCGACGCTTCGAAGCGGGGGAGCCGAAGCGGTGAAGCGGCGAAGAGCGCAGTGAGTGGATTTGAGCTGGGCACTCCTATCCTGCGTTCGTTCGGCACCCTTGGTGACTCCATGATAGTCTCCATGGTATACATTCAATGTACAGGGTTGCTCCGGTCACAGCCCCTTGGTCATGCTTGGGTTTGGCCCCCTCGAAACCTAGGGATTGCTTCGGGCCCGGACCCCTCCAGAACTCGGGCTTGGCCTTTACGGTCTGCGTGAAGAGTTTTTACTTTTTTCAACATGGCATGAAGTGCTGGTGAAGTCCGCCGCCCAGTGACGGGGTGGCGCATACAATCATCAGTGGCTTTGATAAGGTCTCCGAAAGTGCCAGGATGTGCACAGTGCCACCCTCTTCTCCCTGAATCTTCCAACATTCCTTTGCCCAATATATATATATATATTGTTTTATACTGTTTATCAGCTTGAGGATGCTTGAGAACTCACCCCAGTCATAACAACCCCCCCCTGCCCCTGGCCGATCTCGCGCTCGAGCTCACCGGCCACGTAGGCCCAAGCGGAAGAGGATTATCGTCGTGGCGCCGGGCGCCGGGACGCGCGCCAACGGTCCGGAGCCTCGGACGCGGATGGTTCCAACGGTTGGGCAACGCCGCGTGGTTGAAAAGGTGGAAGAAGAGGTGGATGGTTTGATCCCAAGATAGCGCCAGAGACTGAGATACAAATATCATCAAATATCCTGATTTGGAGTTGCAGGAGTCAATTTGTGTGTGTGTGGGTTTGTTTGGAGCAGCACCTTCTCAGAACGGCAGCCTTTTCTGTGACCTGAAAAGAATTAAGGCCAGGTCTATGCTGAGCTTTGTCCCTTGGCATCGATGTGTGGGCTGGGTACTTTGGTCCCAGAAGAGGGTTGATGGTGATCTAACCATATAGATGGCCATGGATGGCCTTTTATTATGTTTCATTGCCGGTTGGTTGATTAATAGAGGGGATACCCCCAAGATTAGAACCACTAGGCATAGTATATGGTACCAAACTGACCCCTCTATTCTTCCCTAAAGGACATCATTTGTGATCCAACGACCCAAGAGATAATCTGCAGTTTTTATCGCTAAAAGGTGAAGGCTGAGAATGGCGAGAAGGGAGAAATGAATGGATCAGCAGTCGAAAATCACCCAACAAAGTGGCAATTGAATGGTCAAAAAGCTCTTCATGATGTTCATCCGCCGAGGACTTCCCAAGAACACCGGCATCAGCCACGGTGGTCCCCCACACCCTCGCACCAAACACGACTCATTAGGCTGCCACTCTCCCTCTGTCAACCGCATGTCTTCGGAAGGGTCGCGTTCGGGTCACTTGCGCGCGGGAGGGGGCACCAGTGGGATTGTTAGTCACAGATACAGGGTGAAACACCCCTCACCTTCCATATCCTTCCATGGGCAGACACCATTCAACTTGAAGCTCCCCAATTCCTGGCTTCTGCATTCCGTGTGGACTTCCTCCACGCCAGTCACCGCTTCAGTCTCCTGCTCCATCCGCCTCCGTCCGCCACATCAAAGCTCTCGGCGATCATCGGTCTGCCAGGTCAAGGTGCCAGTTATAAGATCGAAGTCTTAGGGCATTCGATGGCTCGGTACGACCGTTACCCTGAGCCCCTCGGTGGAGCGGCGGGAGCGAGCGATGTCCGCCGGCGTCGCCCGTTTCTCGCCGGTGTTCGGAGCGGTGTTTCGTGTGCGGCGATGGGACTGGTCGACCAACATGTGTCCGAGGAATCCACCTCCGGCGATGGAATTCTTCCCCGGTCCCTTTCAGACGGACTCCGTCCAATGCAAATAAGGCCATGAAGGAGCAAACACCTTGGGGGATTAGAGCGAGCAATTTCACCCATGAACAGGTGACTCTGACTCTGGCTGACATGAGAACGTCGGGTTCCTGTGGCTGGACGGTGAGGTTTGTAGACATGAAATGACTCCCACAGTTCTTTTTTGCGTCTCCGATAATTCTCAGGACTTGGGGACCTTAAGGGGGAACCCCAATTTGGATGTTTAAGGAGATCTTCAAGAGAGCAATCCAATCATTTGATCGAACAATCCCAGACAAACAGACGAAAGGGCGACATTCACAGAAAGACTTGTTTGCCCAGTGCCTAGGGAATTGCTTGAAACATCTTGAAACTATCCACTTAAATTCAGATGCAGAGAGATGCAGAGCAACCGAAGAAAAATCAGAAGAATCATGTCCCTTCAGCCTGCGCGTGGACACGCAGTGACGCTCGCGCGGCTGCGTGGACACACAGTCCAAGGTCGTGGCACCATGGCGCGCCGGCACCCAACTTGTCCAGCTTTGCATTGGAGGCGTCGAACGGGAGATGGGACTTTCGCCAGATGAGTAGCGAAATTTGTGGACTAGAATGATACCCAGACACTCACTCCATGTAGGCAGTGTAGGCAATGTAGGCAGTATGGAACTTTGGCGATTGGACATCCAAGATCGCACCCCTCAGAGCAGAACGCGGGAGGAGCAGCATGTGGTTTGTCGAGTCTTCACCGTGGCAGGTAGTGGGAGACGCAATGCTTGCGGATTGTTGGGGGGCCCGACAGCTCGAGAAACGACCGGAGCAAATGGAGCAAAGCAGAATCCCACCATCCATGCAGCAAACTAAGATCAACTTCATGACCTTGGATCTCAGCTAAGGAGTAGCAACATGTGTTTGTTTTCGTGTTGTTGGTGTCTGTACACCTGCATAATACACCTCAACATTCATACCGTCCCTTAAACCCCTCAGTTCGAACGACCTTCCCCTCGTGTCAGGCGCAGCCACAACCCGTGAAAGGGCACACGCCCGGTGAACAGTCCCAATTTCAGAGCACGTCATCACTATAGTACTGTAACAAGGACGCTACGAACGGGGCTCCCGGCCTCACTACTAGGAGCGATCGGACGCTACGAACGGAGCAACGGCCCCCAAAAACGCTGAACAATGCGATGAAATCTGCTGCGGTCGGCGCCGTCTGAGGTTTAGTGCTGGGATCTCGAGGCGACTCCGCCTGTTCCAGCGGAGTCGCCCCACTCTGGGAGTCGCCAATGTGCCAAGAAACCGCATGTTTGGTGTCGATCGATTTGAGTGGCCAACACTTAGAGCTTTCAGGTGTTTGGTGTTCATCAGAGGGGACCATCCTCTAAAGCATCTAAAGCCGCAGTTGTTTGTCGAGTTGAAAGGATTCTTGGTGATTTGCCGCAGGTCGAGGCATGTACGAGAGCCGTCTGGACTGTGCTGGATGTTTAGGGGTGTTAACCCACTGGATGTCCTGTTCGGAATATGGAACATTTCGTAGAATAGACACGTCTTTTTACATATTATCTTGGGCAGAAATTACTGCCTGATGAGGGTCTATAGGTCTCAATCAGCTTCGGGTCAATCACTGGCTTCGGGGTTCTGCCTCAGGTGGGCAAGTGGTTCTCCCGAAGCTTTGGGAGGCCAGACGCACTTCGTGCGCGTCAAGCGAGCGCACGTTCAGCATGAGGTGGGTTCAGCGATTAGAAGGGACCAGGACATCCTAGTCTTTGTTGGCATGTCTCAGCTCCCGGATGTACAGATAGAGGAGCTGGGTTTGCATCGCTTACAAAAGTCACCTTTTTGAGTGACCTTAGGGGCCCTTTGAACAGGCTCAAGCAGGATGGCAAGCTTGGCAATGTTAATTTTCAATATACTGGCTCCAAAGTATGCAGGAGACAACAAAGTTCACAATATGCTTCGTGTCCGGTCATATGCTCTTTCATGCTCTTTCCAAGTTTGGTGATGTCTGTTTGTGTTTTTGCTTGCTAATTAAGCCAGCTTCAACATGGCATTGAGTTTGGATACTTATATCCACATTTACTCATAGAGGCAGCGTCCACGGATCCAGATCTACTGCATCAAACACTTCAGGCAGTTGGAAACGCTTTACCACCAGCTGTGGTCATCAACGGAGGATGTGTGGGAACCTTAAACAGAGACAGCCTAGAGCGGACGCAGCCTGGCAGCCGAAGCCTGGCTGTCGGTCATTCGCATGCTGTAAATCAAGAGACTTCGCACTCAGAGACTTCGCACTCTGTCGGTGCGCAGCAAGAATTCCCAACAAAATACCATGCAGATCCAGAATCTAGGTGAGGATCATCCCTGATAGGGAACCAAAACATGAATCGTAAGTAGCATGCATGCATTTATACATAGACAAAAAACAACAACGATCAAGAACGCGCATCCGCGTCACTTGAATCGAAACTCGCATCCATTTGTTGTAACCTGTCGAGTGTCGATGCTCTGAGGCTATGAACCTGCCCGAAGTTGTGGCATGGCCAACGGAGGCCCCAGACGTTGCCGTCGGATGAGTCAGAGACGATCTCATGTTTCAAGTTCTGGGCAATGGAACATGGATAAGTCATGGATAAACGTTTTTGTTGGTTCCACTTTCATTATTGAAGGGAGGGTCACATGAGACCCCCCCAAAAAGCGGCCAGACCGACCCTTGGGGTCACGATTGTGTGAGCCTAAAAAGCTTTAGAGATCACTTTAGTAGCAAAAGGATCGAAAACCCCAAAAGGATTGTTCACACAGGTTCTCACTTTTTGTAGATCGTTGCAATCCTATGGTTTTGGGGGAAAAACACATCATGCATAGCGGCATAGCCGGTGCATGGACGACATCAGCCAGCTGCGCCAGGCTGTGACTTTCTTGCTGATCGGAGGATGTGATCACTTTAGGCGCGGTTTGATGAATCCATGGTGCGAGTATCAGTCAATCAGAGTCAATCATGGAATATTTTTGGATATTTTTATAGACAAGTAAAAGCCCTTTCCAAAATGTACACTCGGGAAGATTAACATGGAACCTGAACATGGACCAGTGTACAACCCAGTGGTTTTCAGGTTCCATGTTAATCTTCAAGGGTGTATTGGAAACCGTGCCACTATCTATTTGGGGGTCCACAGAGGATTGCCCGGCTCCAAAGACGATCCGAGACGACTGTGTTGTCTTGTCTTTGCCGTTGAATGGTTGAACAGGAAGGGGCTGGCCTGTGGTTATTTTTGATTTCGCTAGATCTGTGGCATGTGTTTGACAGATCAAGAGAGTACAGCTACTTAGCTAACTGTGGGAAGATGACCGGTGCCAAGCTTAGGTTTGGGATGGTTCGGTTCTGATTGAAGTTCTGGGCCTTCCAACACCTTCCAACAAGTCACAAACAAATTCTACAAGCAACCCTGGGCAGCTCACGCTACCCTGGTGCAGGTCGAATATGACTCCTGAGGAGTACTTGGTGAGTACCCAGCAATGCGTCCCTGCGACGAATCAGCCGGCATCTCAGGTCTGATGCGACACTGATTGTTTAAAACATGCATTTAATGTACTTGAATAGGAGTGCGAGCGCTTCTTTAAGGAAGCTTCCCCCCCGCCCTCTTCAAGAAGCATGAGCTATTCTGCGTCCTAGCTAGTAGGAGGTTACCTAGTAGCATCCAGCCCTTACTTAGTCCCGTCCCTTACTTATACTATACAATTAAGTATATAGGCGCCTTTTATTAATACATAAGTAAGGGTGAGGGCAACGTGGACAAAAATGGACAGTCCGTAGGTTGAGGCTCAATCGCCGTCGACACGTCCTGCAATGGATCCATGAGTCATCGCCGTCGCGTTTTCACGTCTTGCTATTAGGAGTAACGACTTACTTTAGTTCCAATCTGTAATGTTGACCAATTAGACCTTTCCATACCTTTCTGATAGGCACTCCGGACATCTCCAGTGACCCCAACGACCTTATGCTGATAGAGAGTCTGGTTTGTCGCTGGCTCTTCCCGTCTCGTCATGTCGACTCCGCCAAGGTCAACGGCGCTTCTCTACATCAATGAGATGGAACATATGCCACAAAGTCATTTGCAGCTTGGTTCAAGATGCTGGAAGATCTAAGAAGACCTAAGTCAGTGCTTTCTTGATCTCTGTTTCAGAGACCTCCCTGGGACTTGGAGGACATTGAACATGCCGCGAGAAGGGGAGGGACCCCTTCTGTCGCTTCCCTCGGGTCGTTGTTTTTGGGATTCGTTGCAATACCCCGCTCGAACGTCGAACACCAGCCGTCTCGCCGTACACTTCCAAAAGTAGATGCGCAGGGTTTGGGTGTGAAAGTCCACATTCTACGTGATATTAGGTGACATCCTCCCCATATCAAAACGATCAAGAACGGATACTGTATGTCGTTGCCATAGATGCAAAGCGCAACCGAGTCTGACCCCATCGCCGTGGCCTTTCGGAGCTCTTTCCCGACACAGCGGGGTGCGATGGACCGACCCGCTTCCACGGCTTCTTCGTTTGGAACGCGTCGGATGCGCCTTTGAGCGCTTTTTGAAGTCCACCAAGGCTTCCTCAGGTGCCAACTTCCTCAAACGCGTCGGCTGCGCCAACACCACAACCGATGCTTTAAGCAGATGTTGGACGTGAAAACACCATCACCATGCGGTATGCACCAACCCACAGCTGATGCGCAGCTGCTTCACCCATCGAGGGCCGTATCGCGGTCTCCGACGGCGAGGACCTTCGCTTCACCCGAGGTTCGCGCTGATTTTGCCTCACCTGCTCCGCGTGTGCCTGGCTTGGAAGCGCAAGGCCCGGGAAATCGGAACGGTGCACATGGCCGGTCGTAGTCCTTTGTTCTTCTCATCCTGGGCCTAGTAAACACAATATCACTGGGGGGCTGTGTGCACAGATTGATGCTTGACAATACAACGGTATGATCCAGGATTAATCTATAACTTATAATATCTTATAATGATTAATCATGGTTAATAATGTATAATCAATTTGTTTGATACCAACACCTTGCCATTTGGGCAGCTCAACAGGCGAATCTCATCGGATCTAATTGGTTTCCGCGCTGAGAGCACCTTCCATTGGTCATTCTTTTCCCCTCCCGTGACTCCCTATCCCTCTCTGGATATATATTGCCCTCAGGAAGAGGAAGAACTGAAGTCTATGGTTTGGGATGCCTCCCCATTATTTGAAAAGCCCTTATGGGTTCGGGTTCTTACACTGCCATTTGTAAGCACTCTTTAAAGTTAATCTTAAATCCCTACCAACATCCCGGGGGGGCTTTTCCTACAGACTTGGGCCATGCAGAGTGCTTAGAGGAATGTACGGTTGTAAGAAGCACGTCGAACCACATACCTCCCTATCCTGGAGTGTCAACGAGTTGCTTAGACCTGCCGCGTGTTCATCAGAAGTCTAGATAGCGCAGCACAGAACATCCATTCACAATCACCTTCAGGAAGCAGGCCAACACCCCCTTTGGAGCTCAAAGCTCAGTTTGCTCCGCTGCCGGGCTCAGCCGCAAGCTTTCGAGGTCGAAGTGGCACCTTTGCGAGAACTACAATGTTTGCTAACGGAGCTCAATAGCTGTAAAGGAGAGTGGCCGGCTTCTCAGATTCTTGTTTTTGCCAACAAGAAAGAGAGAGAGAGAGAGAGACATTTGATGACATCTGAATATATTCGGGTTTAGCTGTGAGGAATGTAAGTGATGAGACTTGAGGGCTCGGTTTAATGGACCCCTAGGAACAAGAAGCTATTAGGAACAAGAATTTGAATTAGAAGTAAATTGAATTATAATGAATTATATAGATCGCCAGCCATCACAAGAACCCTCCCCCCACACCGCACCGCTTCCTCCTCGCTGAGGACCGGATGTTTGTCCTTCACCAGCGGAGCTGGTTGGACGGATGTGCCCTTCGGCGCCGCACTCGGTCCGCACCGGTGGCCATAAGTTCAAGCCGCTCGTTCGATAGGCAGATCTAGGCAGGGAGGTCTATTGATGTCTACTGAATGTATGGGAGTTGATCCTTGAGGCTTTCAACATGAAAGTATGTTGTTCCATCATGAATGTATGATAGATTTTCCTGGAGGCCCAAACCAGGCCCCATAAGGATGGGACACCTTGTGAAACCGACGTCTCCCATGTCTCTCTTCACCAAATTCCCCACGTTCTCTCGCTTGGCAGAGTGCTGGTTGCTTCCATTATCGCCCCCCAGGTGCTCAACGGACCCTTCTCAGCTCAGGGACCTGCAAGGCACGAGCGCGAAAGGGGCAGAAAGGAGGGGATGCTGAGGGCTGGGGAGATAGGGCTGGGGGTATCCAGATCAAGACAAAGACAAAGATCTCAAATCGATCATTCCAAGGTTGGAGGTTCCTTTTCAGACGTAACGGCTTGTATTCATTTAATGTGACTGTACCACTGTACAGTCCGAGATGTGTACGCGGGTCATCAAACGTTTATTGGCTGGTAGCACTCAAAGGGCAGGCAGTTGATTCTGCACAAATTGTGGGTGCTCCGAGCAGTGTTGCTTCCACGAGCGCCAACGCATGCCTCTTCTGGCCAGGTTGAATATGGTAGAAGCCTTCGCTCAACGTATGGTTCACCTGTCCATGCACACTGTAAAGCTGTGGGGACATTTAGTAATTAAGCGGCCAGCAGTGGTTAAAATGGTCACGTGGCCGAAAATCCAATCGATGCGCTCTTTGATTGCGGAATTCACTGTCGCACGAGCCTACTGAATGCTTGATGCAGCTCGTGCCGGGGACAACACACATGTGGCCTTGTTTTGGGCCACATGATGTTCTAAAGGCTTCTTCCGGATGGGCTGCTGATGAAGATCAACTGCACGACAAATAGATACAAATCGAATCAAATCGAAGCATTGAAAAGAGCAAAGATCCCCGCTCTCTTGGGGCTAAGCACCCGAGGAAGGGGAGAGCTATTCCTTTGGTGTGACGGTCGAGAAAACCCGGTTTGGCCCCACATTGGACGCGTGTGGCGGTGGCGAGTGGCTGTTGATGTTCACAGAACTGGGTACAAATGTTTCAGAAGAGGCCCGGTCCAATGTGGGGAAACAACCGGTTTTGTCTTGGACACTTGTTTGGCAGCCCAGAATTTGTTGATCTAGCTAGCCATTGTGGATATCCACTGTGGCGTGATGGTACGATGGTTCTTGGTCAATGACAAAGGTGTCTGGCGTGCCGGCCGGCAAAAAGGGGCGCGCAGCCTGATGACAGATGCTTAACCAACTGATCACTCAAAAGAAACATGATATTAGAGCAGCTTCGACCAGCCAAAGCATTATTCTGTTGTGACAGCCTGATCTGAATTAAACCCAGAAAGCACCCAGTCTGGTTTCCTTTTTTCTTTTGTAGCATGTGTTTTTTTGCCTTTCCTTCTGTGCCATTGGCTCAGATCCGAGACTGAACAGATATATATTCTTCCATCCTATCGGGCGGATTCAAGGATTTAATGACTTCGGTCAATCTCTTGGGAGAAGTCGTTGTGATGCAATGTTTCAGCAACACCCGCCCTCGACCTGACTCAGACACCAACACCCTTTTCTTCGATCCTTGAGCTCCAGTTCCCAAACCCTCTTTTTGGCGCACAAATCTAGGCAACACATGGGAAACACAGGGCGCACTCACCCACATTTATCCGAGCAACCGAGAGACCCACAGAGCAGTCTACATCTCACATCATCCTCACATGCGCTTCCTCTACCTCCATGTCTTGCTGGCTTGTCGATGTGTGGTCGGCCTTCAGCTGCTTGAGGCAAACATTGGCAGACGGATTCCGAGAGGTTTTGGAGTGATTGGCTCTCCTCCACGTCTATGCCTAAGAGTGACGAAAAGCATGCGGTGTCTTGTTCACGACTCGTATGTTGGCACCCCAAGTGTGGATCCCCAAACACCGCCATCCAAAGTCCGTGCGATGACCGCAGAACACAGCCCTTTGAGGTGAACACAGCTCATGCCCTTGGGATGTGAACCATGTGAACCACGGAAGAAACATTGAAAGATGACCACGCGCGATGGCCGCAGACCGGGTGGGGTACCGAAGAAACGCCAAACGCGATCCGCGATCCGCATGCTCCTCCGCATGCTCCTTCCGAGATGGAGTGTTTGGGGCGCACTTGCATGGATTTGTTGGTTGAAGATGCTGAAGAGGGCGCACTTGCAGGAAAACCACTAGAGGTTGAACCCTGAAGTGGGGCAAGATGTTCAATAGATTTCACTTGTCAGGTTTTTGTTGCAAAGGGTGTGGGCCAGAGATGTCGGATCTATCACTTCCTTGTGAACAGCTTACTGGTTACTGTAACCACCATTTAGAAACAATAAACCATAACATCTACCAGGAACCTCCATTTGGGGTGTTTATACAGAGCCTTTTTAGAGGTTAGGGCTTAGGGGTGTAAAACCAAACTTGGAGGGTGGTATAGGGATCCATCATGGCTTTCCCCTGTGCAGGCGAGGAGCACATTGAGGCTCTTGCAGTGGAACCTCCATTCCGAGTGCTTTTTGCCCTGCGCTGTCAACGTCACCAACGGCAGTGCTTCGTCTAGCCCGCGCTGGCCTCACTGTGATGCGCACTACCCCAACTGTGGGAGGAAACTCGGTGGGGAAGACCCCATGACGGTCTCAATCGCGAAGGCCTCATCGAATTTCCTTTTGTCATGCACGCAGGACATCAAACATCAAAGCGGAATGCAGGCCTTCAAAAATCATGTCCCTTTGTCATGTTAAAATCAGATTGTTTGAGGGAGGTGAACCATAATAATCCTACTTCTGATGCACACAACACTTGTGGAGGGCAGGAGTCGCTGTTTCAGTTTCTACAGGTGGTTCTTTGGATCAGCTAGCTACAGGGCATGTCATTTTAGTGCATTTTATTCTCCATACAGCATATATCAGCATATCACCATATGACCTCTATTTTGGACAACCAGCACCCCCCCAAAATATGGCCCTTTCCTATTAAAACACGGGTCAAATGGGTTCTAGGTATATACTTACAAATATGTGTGGGTCAATGATCCAGTACCTTGGTTGACACCTAACAATGACGTCAACCTACTCGTTTGGAGTGTGTGGTTTTGCTCATTGTCAACATCTGGGTTCACTGCATACGTTGTTTGATAACCAGAGTATGCCCCCACACCCCCCAAAACCAAGGTTCACGAGGCTGCCGCAAGGGTATATGCTTGAATTCTTTGTCGAGCCAAGCTGGTCGAAGCCGCCCAGGAATGCCACTCACGAGCTGCTGGACTTGCTGCGACAGGTGGACTTTGCGGGGATCGAACAGCTCTCGGTGTCTTGGTGCAACTCGAGACACTGGACGGTTGGCACTAAAAGGCATTGAACAGCATCCCCAAACAATATCACACAATGATACACAATGCATCAATTCCCATGAACAGTGATCCGCGCTTCCATGACCAGCAAGACTTGGACTGTTTTTTCTGGGTGGGTGCAGATAGCACGGCAGAGAAACTACTGTACACCCGTTTCAAGAATCTTTAAACCTGCAACCCACAAGATCCAAGCAGAATCAATGTCCGGCCACTTGCCCCCAGTTGTCCATCGGTTGCATGATCACTTGCTTTCTTTGTTCCTTTGTGTGGACCTTTCAAAAATTGCTAGCAGCTAGCAGTGCAGCTAGCAACAGGCAAGGAACATCAATCAACCACAGGTCTACTGAGAAATCACAAACAAATTGGTGATGATTTATGATATGTTATGGCATGTTATGGCGGTTGTGGCGTTGCATGGCGTTGCAACACCCATGTTACCTTTAATTCTGTTGATCTGCTGTGTTTCTTGATACGGACATGGCCATCTGGGCAGATCAGCAACACATTTGCTCGATCGCAGTGCCTGCGAAGCCTAGCAGCCTCCCAAGTAGCAGCTACAGCAGCCCACCATGGAAAACTCATTCCCGCTTTGAAGACGAACGTACACATCTACCCACCTGGACACCAATCGTGTGTTCCTTGGACTTGGCCGGAATCGAGTCGTATCGTGGTAAGACAAAGACGTCGACGACTGGAATCGAGTCGGTCCAGCGATGAAGAAACTCACGGACGCGCGTGCGCGTGTGGACAGTTTCCCGGTTTTTTTGTTCATCGTCATATTGAAGCATTGGTTTGTTTACTTCTTTTTTTCCAACTTACAACAAGTTCTACCTATCATGGAGTGTTGTGTCATTCTTTCTTTGCACCTCTGCTGTCCAAAGGACCAAGACTTTTGGCAGAGCCTGAACAGCACCTGGGGCCAGATTCACCATTCGTGTGGCGGCACCAAAGGCGCGGGCAAATCCGAGGTCGAGTGGTGAACTGTTCCCTTGCCATATAAGCTTTTGGATATCATCGTGTGAGCTGTTGGGAATTTGCTGATTGTGACCAATGAAACCGGAAGGAAATGACTGTAAACCCAATATAACCCAATGAGCAGGTCCTTTAGACACGTCTTATTAAATGTATTCCTCCATGAATTCTTTCATGGCCAGCAAGGTGTTATCAGCAAGCTCGACCTTCTGGATCCATTTTAATAACATCTAATTGGCCCTTGAAGTGCCTCAGCCTGCCTCAGCTGATAAGGGCGCATGGCAGCGATTCTGCATGTGGTTTGACCAAAAGGAAGGTCTTATGGAGTCTTATGCATTCTTATCCCTTCCCGGCCAATCAAGACCCGCGTCCACCCAAACCTGCTTTACTAGGGCACCCCCGGCACCCCCAGCCATCAGTTGCATCTCACGACCTGAATCTCGGATCACAACCAGGCATCACTACCAGTCATCACCAGTCGCACAACTTCACCTCATCACTTGGAGTTTCCCACCGATCCGAGTCACAGGCCACCGCGACCGGTTCGGCTCACCGGTCGACCGGAGGCTTCGGCGTGTACCCCTTCGACCTCGCCAGCCTGCTCTACCGGCAAACGGGCGGCTGGGCGCCGTCCGGGCAGCCAGTAGGTGGATGCATGGAGAAGGTGAACAAGTCATCTCAGGACTGAGGGACTGCTGTAGGGGGGAAGGATTCATAAAGATTCATTAGCAGGCAGATACATACAGATATATACCGATACTAGTAATTAAATATAACAATTAACTAAATGTAATTACTGGAGGGTCTGGAGATCTTTGGATGATTTTGAATGTGTGTGGGGTGCTGATTGGATGGTTGTTTGTCCAAAGGTAGTTGGGTCAGGCAGAGAAAGCACTCCCTCACAAGAGGCCGCAAATTCAGGAGAATTGCGGAGTGTTTGAGCTGTGTTTGGGATAAGAATCAGGGCTCCTGTGACAAATATCTATCCCTGTGGGTTACGCCATCATCTTGGGTCAAAGAAAACAAAGAACATCAAAGAACACATAATCTGGTCATGATGATGCAAACAACCATATTGCAAAAGGGGGGGGAATGTCGGATCACTTGTCCCGGATCCCGTGACGTCGTACCGGACTTCCACCGTGACGCAGGTCAACGACTACCGGGCCTATGTGGGACAGGCCTTCGTCCATAAGGACGAAGAACACACGCCGTCGTCGACAGTTGGCTGTTGTCCCATATACCCTGGGAGTCAACGACTATACAAAGAATGGTCTTTATGGGATCTGAAAGGAAACTTCCTTTACTCCAGCCGGTCAAAATATAGTCTTTGGACTTCTAGGGTATATGCTTCTTGAATCTTTTGGAACCACATCGCCTGCTTACAATGATTGGTCGAAGGTCTGACTGGGAAGCACCGGACGTGAAGATGAACATCATGTGTGTTTCGAAGCCATCTAGTTTTCGAATTTGAAGAGCTATAGCAGCATGCAGCATGCAGCATGCAATACATCTATATATGTCTATAGAGCCTCTATGGCACCGGTGCAGCCTTTGGTGAAATGGATGCGCATCCGAACTGGTGCAGGACACTGGACTTCAGGTCATCGTGATGGTCGCCCACTTTCCACACGAGGGCGGCTACGAGGCTTCCGACCAAACAAGGGGGCTTCTTCTACGGAAGAAAACAGAGGATCGAATCCTCGGCTTCTTCCGTGGGACGATCCTCCAAGTCTTTCTGTTGATTCATGGAGGAATTCTAACACTATTGTACCCATGCGTCTTTCATGGATGGATGAATTTGACATGAAAGATTCAAGTGTAGCCAAATGTACTGAACATTACTGAACTAATACATGTTCTCATGGACACTCTGGACTGACCACTCACCGGACCTTCTGTCCCACCCTTGGCCGGTGACGACACGCTCAGTCGACGCGGACTCCTGGGGCCGCCGTACCTCTGCCCAGGCGGGATTAGAGCTCTTGAGCGCCGAGCTGCAGGACTTGAAGCGTCGCAGCGGCGTGGAGGAGGCCACAGCAGCTTCGTCGCGCCGGGACCGGCGAGAACAGCAAAAGATCTGGCGGCAAAGAATCCTTCACAAGGAGGGCCGATGTTAGTCATCATTGCTAGAAAATATGAGTAAGAAAATCACGATTTATGTCGAGGCCAGGGGACGAACTCAAAACAACTGTGTCTTGTTGGCCAATTTGGTCATGCAGGCCTTTTTGTGTTCGCGCGTTCACAGATGATTCAGACATGTGTACACACCGTAGGTCCTATTGCTGGCAGACACGAATCAACAGAAAGGCAACGCGGAGATCATGCATGACATCGATGCTTCCTCTTCAGCGCGTCCCGGCATACTGGTAGAAAGCCACGACCGAGGTGAAGTAATTGTGTTTTTGTTGCCCAGCAGACAGAGGAGGCATTCTTGTGAGGAGGCTGGAGGTGGTTGTGCAGGCATACTCGACCATGTCATTGTGGATAATAGATGATCAACCAGGCAGAGTGATTTCAATGAATTGTGATACAGCTCCCTCGAACATGGGGCATCAGAGCCTGAATTCATCGATCTTTTTTGTTCCTTGTGAAGCTCTGGTGCCAAAGCTCCTAGTAGCGTCCTTTTGTGGATCCCCTAGTAGCGTCCTTGCTCCTGGCAGCGATGCCCTTTGCTCCTAGTAGCGTCCTCTACCCCAGAATTGTTTGGAGATCCCTTAAGTGAAGCTCTGGCGCCACCAATCCCCGCAACATGGTGATCTCCCTGGATTCGGCGAGCATTTTTTTTGTTTCATGTGGCGCGGTGGTTTGATGTGGCCGAAAGGTTGCCAACAACTTCAATAACTTCAAGAGTATGTTTCAATCTTGTTCGGCAATTTGGGCATGTCCCAAATTAGACGGGAGACCCTAACTGGGTGCCCAGGTGGCTTCCCTGGGTGTGCAGGTGGCACTTGTTTCGGCAGATCTGAGGAAGACCGCGGGAAATGATGTGCAAATCACCTGTTGCTACCCGGAGTATTTCTTCTCCTACGACCGGATCATCGCTCAGAATCTGGAGGTGACTGCGGTCAAGACATCCTTTCCATTTGGAATTGGCGCGGATCACCATCCACCTGAATCTCGACTTAGAAAGACCAGCTTGCCATATGAAGTGCAGTTTTTTCGGCGATCCTTCACATACCCCAACCACTTTGGCATTTGGTGAATTCTTGAGGGGCGGGACCGGGAGGCCTAGAGGGCCACAGATGCCACAGCAGCCAGCCACTGCATTCACCAGGTCTATTGGTCGCCCTTCCTGACCAGACCGTGAGGTCGCCCGGGGAACCGGGGGGAAACCCTTTCAGATTCTTCACTGCCAATGAAAAAGGCTGCCAAAAAGTCCTGGCTGCGGAATGAAGATGGACTGGTGATCAGAGCTCTGGTGCTGGCAGGTTGAGAGAGGAGAACTCTCCCCAGCACGCCCGCACGCCAGCGCGCCACGCGAGGTCCGGACCCCGCCCCGAAACACCCAGTGCTGTGCCCAGCAACCACGCGCCACGCCGACTCGGGGGGCTGGAGACAGTCAGCAGTAGACGGTTTCAGGCGTTTTCGTCAGGAAAAATCACAAAGAGTCTCACCCCCATCATGTCGGGCTGAACGTTCGTGAACACAGGGAGAGGGGAGGGCGCCCTTCTTTGAACGTGGCCGTGAATGACCCCCAAGTACAAACAAAAGCACCTCTCGACACCAGTTGAGGCCTGGGCTGTCTTCAACATGCACGACCCAGTGCTCGTGGAGTTGGAGATGCGTGGGGAGCCGCGCTCCTGGGCGAAGGCGCCAAGTCCCGCGGTGCTGCTGACGGTGCTGCTGGCGGTGGTGCTGGCTTGGTAGTTTGGAAAAAGAGGAGAGCATTTGGTGCTTTTTGGGGCGAGGAGCAATCACCAACCACCCCTAATCACACCCCCTTGGACTCTTTCTTGATTCGATGCTGGCTTGCTAGATTTGGTTGCTTGGTGAAGCGAACATCAGAACAACCACAGCACACAACACAGCTACACACTGACACTCAGTCATTCTAGTGCTTGGACCCAGGCTGACAGAACGGTTGGAATATGTTGGAATCCTCACTAGTTATCAAGCAATTCCCAGCGCTGTTGCAGGCGCTGTTGTTAACTTGTAGGGAGAGTAGGGATGTGATTCGGTGTGGTGCGTCATCAGTTGCAATCACAGCTTCGTTCATGCTTTTTGTATTTTTTGACCCCTGGAAGAGGGTTCTTTGCCAGCATTCTCCCTGGACCAGCCTCTGGCTCCAGCAGCGGCGGTTAGTTTTTTTGGGAGCAGCCTGGGCAGCTCGCTCCACGCGTTTCTGGAGGCAAAGTGCTTTGCGATTTGCTTTGATTTAGGGTATAGACCGGTATAGACATACATAGACGTGTACTGGTAGGGGTGCCCGATTTGATTTTGATATACGCTTGCCAATGGATGCCTGTAATCTTGCTTAGCAGTTCAATTTGCTTCTGGATCGATCCACGGATTTTGCTCAAAATGCATTTTGCTCAATTTCTATCCTGACATTCACCTGAATTTCATAGTAACATAGTATTTCATTCGCTCCATCCACTATTCTGGGTGAGCATAGACTCCTACCAACTCCTACCAATCATTCCCACTTTCCTACCATGACCACGTGGCAAAAACGTGAGAAACTAGCATCCCAGTTGCCAGGAACACATGCTGCAGGTCCCAGCCGTACCAGCATCCCCAATGCATCCAGTGCAACAGAGGCCGGGGCGATTCAGGTTTCACGAAGGGTCTGAGATGATCGTGGCAGACAGGGACCCAGAGGGGTCCCAGAGGGGTTCCAGACAGTCATTGCGAGGGAATGGGTGGGAATTGCTCATCATTGGCAAGAAGTTCTTGGTTCTGATGACTTCTGTCAGCCAACTCTTGACATCGAAGGTGTAAGACAGTGTAAGAGTCCTATCACCATCCGCACGCATCCGCCCAGTTCGTGTGCAGCTGATGGCTCATGCGTTCCCCATCTTACGGAATGAAACCTGTGGGAGTTTCATGGATTAGGGCAGCTCATAGTGTGTTCTACCTGCGTTCAACAGGTTTTGCGTAAAGCGATGTAAAGTGTCTAAATCAAGATCTGAAATCATCCAACTGTTCCGAACTTGCTTCTGTTAAGCAACCTGACCAACTGTTCTAGTTGGACAATGGAAAAGGATCCATTGTCCTTTTGCACCCACGCGTGCACCGCCGGGCCTCCACTCCAATGGGCCTCCTTTTGAGCCCCTTGGCGGTCCGTCGTGAGCCTCTTAGGAGGTGCCGACCCCGGACCCCAATGAGATGGGCCGAAGCCCGCGTGGCAGAACGATGACATCCGTAGAATATCCTTTGGGATAGGTCCGGATAGGTGATGGGTGAGCAGATGGAGTAGATGGAGTAGGTAAACATATAGATAACATTGCACACATATTTTGGTGAGGGAGGTGAGTAGATGTTGGCAACTATGACCCAAAGAATTTATGCCGCCTCGAGATGGGTGCGATTGTTCGTTAAAGATCCTGACGATGTACAAGACTAAAGATACCAGCACCTCCAACAGGTCACCAATTGAAACCTGTTAGGGCCCTTCCCAACCCTCCAAAGGAGACCTGTTGGAAGGTGCTGGTAGGGATCCATTTGACTTGTCACGTTGACCTCTTAAAGATTGGTTTTGGACTCAACGCCAAGTGGACTCATGCGGGGTTCTTTTGAAGGTCGCTTTTCAGGGATTGAGATGGATTGTTTCCATCTCTAGATGGCACATGACGGCACAATCGACGAAAATCCCCGAAATCCAGTCCTTTTGGTTTGAATGGACCCCCTAAAACATGCTTGGAACCGCCTGTGTCCATCGTGCAAAGACCGAGCAGCCGGGGACACGATGGGAGGTCGTGGGGATCAGAAAGAGGTGGGTTCTGAAGCCCATGAGGTGCCCTGCACCATCCTGGACCTATATATAGCCGATATAGCATACTAATAGCTATTGACCCTGGCCAGTCTGATGGAGTGTTTGGGTATGACCAACTTGGGATTGTTTTGTTGTTACCGAAAACCCTGGTGCGTTCTGGGCGGCACGGACGTGTTCAGGTCGAGCTCCTGCCATCGAGCGGACGTTGCTCTTGGTGGGCTTGCCGGGCTCCGGAAAGAGCAGCATGACCAAGAGATGTTTGATCTACAGTTTCAGGATTCGTTGGAGTCCAAAGAATTGGGTTCACATACTATCTATTATGTATATATATATATATCTGAACAACTGCTGTCCAGTGCTGAATATCATATCTGAACAACGGCTTTGTTCACAAATTTGAGTTGTCATGTCGCTTTCTATGTTCAATTGCTCCCATGTGTTCACCTAAGTGAGGTACCATCTTGAAGCAGTTGAGTGGAGCAGATCCATCTGGAGTCCTGGCAGACGAGTGGTGTCAGCACTGAGTCAACTCGTGGAAATGATGGGACAAGAGGTGTCCAGTCGGGAGTCAACTCGCTGTCCAGACCTCATCGCACCTCATGCGTTCGCCTCAAGATACTCATCCGATTCGTGTTCGCGAAGCCGACGACGACGTCGTTCCGCCGGTACCTCGCCGGACATCTCCGACGAGAGGCGGCTGGCGGAGTTGGATACTGTAGGGGCAACAGGACCGAGTTAAGCCGAGTGATGCCGAGTTCTGTTCCCAAGAGAGGTTGGAAATGGTTTCAATCACCCAAGGACCCGAGTTGTGTCCATTGACCCGCGTTGCGTGGGGGAAGTGCGGAAAGATTGCGGGACCTGTTCGAGCCAGGCACTTCACTGCCCCAACTACATGCACTTGTCCTTAAATAGGCTGTAGATGGCTGTAGTATGGAAGGATGCAAATGATATAGCTATATATGACAGAAGACTCAGAGTATAGATGGCATTGGCGCCCAAAAACATGCCTTAGACGACATGCTCCAAATTCAAAGGGCACCAGACAAACCAACTGTGGGCCCTGGTGCCATCGGAGCAGCGTCGAGTCGTCGTGATCGGCGTCAGGAAGCCAGACAGAGTCGACCATCGGTTCTCAATGCGACTCTTGGACGGTTTGGTGTGGAGTTTGGTTGTTTGATGTTGGGAGTGGTGATCGATGATCGATGTTGAGAGGTGCGGAGCGAGAAAACAGATATCTGCAACTTTCACTCATCAACCACAAATAAATGGGCAGAACGCATGAGATGGCAACATCCACACCAACACTGCCTCGGCCCGCACTTGGTCAATGAGTCAAGGATCATTTCTGTGGGTGTACTCGTTGCCGGGGCTCAAGTTGGGTAGTTTAGCATAGGTATAGTTAAACCCCACGCGCGAAACAACCCATGTGATCTTCACCACAACTTGCTTGTGTACCTAGGCTTCTATTTACTACAAGGATTTCAAGCCTCTTGGCAGATTGTTCTTGTCCTCTGCCCAAAAGCTTCCCTTGGACACGGTCACTCTAAAGACATCTATATGCACCGTCCGTCGCCGTCCTGCCGTCGCTTCGCTGTTCTTCAGAGGGGTAAGGCGAAGGTCACGTTTGAAGGGATGACCGTTGACCCCGACCACTGCGATACTTTGGGTCACTGATGACGAGACCGACCTCACTGCGCGCGCCGAACCACCGGCCGACACGACTCCCGCCGCGGGTCGGGGACCGAGCCGACGGGCCGACGGGACCGAGGTTCACGCTCTGGGAGATCGGAGGGCACCAGAAGGTCCGGCAGCTCCTGCGCCACTTCCGACCCGCGGCGCACGGACACTCGGTTCCAACGCGCGAGGTGACCTGCGGGGTGTCCGAGATGAAGAGGGCATGGGCATGGTATGCTGTGTGACGCACGTTTTTGTTAGGAGGTTCAGACAGCACGTTTGCAAGTCTGCCACATCCTGGTGCGCTGGTGTTCTGGTGGGCGTTGAAAGTTCTTGGGCATCGGCATACATGTCGTGGCGTGCCTTTTACATTGGAGTCCAAGTGAGGGCCTTGCATTCTGCTCCGTGTCCGTGCAACGCGGTCTTTGGGTGGGGTCTATGATCTTCCGCGGGTGCACTGATGTGCACTGGCTGCTCTGTCAGGATTGCTTTTCGTGGTGGATAGCTCATGCTCGGATGAAGAGCTCCTGGAGGCTCAAGAGGAGCACGCAGCACGTCTAGTGAAGCAGGTGCCGGTGCCAAGCAACTCGAGTTCCAGAAGCCTTATAGTCTTTGATCTCTGTATAACTCACGGATAGACTGTCCACATGGTGTTGCTTCTGTCGTACTTCCGAACATTGAAGTTCCTAAAGTATCGCAGCTGGTCATGACATCTCATGACAATCGCATCACCTGGAGCAATGAGTGTTCCAACCTCGCCAGGAGTTGAAGGCACTCTTGAGCGTCTATACATCCGAAGCTCGACCCGGGTAGCAGCGGTGGTACCGGGCAGCGGGTCTGCCGAACGGCACATGGGTGTGGTGTGTAGGTGAATAGGAGGACCACCAGTCTACTGTAGACTGGTCTATTTTCCCTTCTTCCAGGGGGAGGTCTCTGTACGAAAGCTAGCTGTAGCTAGCTGGAGGAGGGTGGGAGCTGAGGACCTGAGTGCTATTACCTGATATATCAGGACTAGACCCCCCCCCCCGCGGGGTTCAACTCCACCCTTCTCCTCTCCTCCTCGGTGCCTGCTGCTGCTGCTGCTTGGTCGCTGCTGCTGCTGCTGGCATCTCATCTCATCTGCGCCTGGCTCTTGGCTGCTTGCTGGTTGCTGCTGCTTGCTGCTTGCATGCTTGGTGCTGCTGGATGCTCTTGGCTGCTTGCTGGTTGCTGCTGCTTGCTGCTTGCATGGCTGCCTGCTGCTTGTTGTCTGCTCCGT